ATGCTTTTTAATGAGTAAAATGGACTGAGACTGCAACTAATATTTACGTAATAACCCCATTTTAAGCACAATTTTACCCCCAAAACACGGTAAAGAATATTACAACAGCACAGAAGGGGGTTTCAAAACATTTTCATATTTACCGCAAAATTAAATGCGTCTTTCGTAACACGAAATTAATTATTTTCGAACTAAAACTATGAAGTTCGTGTTCCATAGAAAAGAATTTACTATTTTCATATTTTCCAATTATTGTTGCATAAAGTAGAATTACTTGAATTTACTTCATGCACACATATCATGATGCGAAAAATATGGTACCCCCATTGAATAGAATCTACTATTAGAAAACTTTATTCATCCCTAAAAATGAAAATCGCTGTGTTAACATGCAAAAGTACCTTATGTAGCCTAGTATAACTCTCAGCGAACCTAATTATTGCATAGCCGACATTTTTCTACGTTAGGTTAGGGTAGGTTACATAAGTTTTTGCATGATAATACCGTGATTTGACTGTTTATAATATAAATGAGGAATGTGCTACTTTTGTCACATTATTCAGCTTATTTACTTATTTATTTAACCGTGCAGAAGTGCAGTTATACGATTTGTTAATTTGTTGCCTATCTCAACAAGCAAATAGACAACTTAGTGCAGAAGGTATAAAAAGCTACCTATGATTAAGTATTTATTGGATATAAAATGACATCTTTTGTGCTATAATCTGCAAGTATAATATGCTATAGTATATACAGGCTGTTGCAAATTCTATGCTCACGATTGGGGTTTCATAACAGTAAATCGATGTTCATTTACTTTTCTCTTCCAATTGGTGTGGCACCAAAAAAAACGTACCCGAAAAAATGGTTATTAAAAGTTTATTTTTTTGTTTAGTAGATACCTTTATTAGAAATAATAGGCGAACAGAGGACTCTATGGAAGTCAATAAGAAATAGGCAAGATAGGTTCGTAGAACATCTTCTCAGACAAGAGCTAGTCAGAGACATTAGAGGCAGTAACAGCAGTTAAGAGGAGTGAGGTAGACCTAGATTAGATTACTGTTCGCAAATAGTTAAGGATATTTTAGTTTTAGGAAAATGCGAAGATTAGCTCAGGATAGGAAAGAGTGAGGTGCATATCCAAACATTCATAGGTTTGACGGCGATGATAATGATGTAAAAATACCTACTGTAGCGTGCGTGACGCTAACAAATACCCCAATCTAGTTGCAAGTCTGAAGCTGAATGATGAAGTGACTATAGTTATTTGCAGGTTCAATAGTTAGACGAAGATCAATCTGTTTGCATTTACATAGCTTAAATGTAAAGTGCTAGGAGGATGCATGTGCAGAATAAGATTGCAGGTGTTGTCCCATCTGATATGGTGTATGCTGGTTTCAATCGGTGAATAGATAGTTTTCTCCTTGTTGGGCAATTAAACGGTGAACGTGTGCTCGTTCCTGCTAAGAAGATCGAAAGGACCGTCGTAAGAAAATTGTAGCTGGTTTTTAGAATCATCGTGTCGTAATTCTCCAGGTAGACGTAGTGGCTTTCCATACACCATGTCAGCGGCTGTTGCTTTCAGATCTTTTTTTTTCAGGCTGCTTGGATGCCTAACAGTACAGTGGGAAAAATCAAGGTCCAGCGGTTATTTTGATGACATGTTATTGCAGCCTTCAAATAGCAATGAAATCGTTCGACCATTCGACCGTTCCAAATTGACAGATCCATCCTTCAAAGAATGTACGTGCTATGGATGCAGCTTCTTGATCTTTGATGGGAATTGTTTCGGGCCAACGTGTGAATCTACACATGTGAGGCAGTAACGGTATCCTTCAGAGTATGTCTAGATGTACGTGTTCGAACCTGTCTGAAGGCATGTTGGAGATTCCCAGAGGGGCGGAAAAGTGCCGGGAAATTTTTGTTTTCTGACAGGGCATGCAATGCGCGTGCCCGTTTGGCGCAATCACTATTTGCTGATGGCAGATGAAACGCTGTGTAATTAACCTGATAGGTGTACGAATACTAGGGTTATTTGGAAATATAAGTGGTTGAAAATGGCAAAGCGAAATAATGGGGTCAAAAATGGTCTAGCTGCTCCTGTTGAGTTGTCACAGAAGATATCTTTGTTTGTATCCAGTTTATGGATACGTCTTAATACTAGGGACTTGTGAGAACTGAGATATGTTTAATGTTCTTTATCGGACTCGTCTTGAGTTTCAAGGGCTTCGTTATCAATAGGACTTGATACTTCTGAAATATGTGAAAGAGTGTCTGCTACAATTGGCTACAAATGCCCAGTTGTACCAGTGTCTCGAACTCTCTTTTGGCTGCTGCAAATCAGTCCTGAGCTAGACGTCGTGGTCTCCGAGCTACGGGAGGGCCAGTGGTAGTGTTTATGTAATGCCTTCTTATATGCTTGGGGTGCATGAATTGACCGTTGAGGAGCAGTAGTTACGAAAATTGCTTGAATAGGTCGTCGTATCTGAATGTGGCGGATTTGTTATCCGTGATGATTGTTACTAAGGGTTGGCTGCAACCACTCACCTTACCAGGGGTTGTGAGCTGGATGAGCTGATCCAGGAGACGTTGATTTCTCAAATCTGCAATTATTGGTAATAATAACTATAAATCGTCATGCGAAATTTCTACGTAGGCCTAAGTTGAGGGACAGGTTGATATAGCTTCAGGTCGAAATTATGGTGTCATTTGCTGCTTGTAGCGTGAATGGTGTTTTCTGACGTGGCGCAGGTACTAGAGACTTGAGATGTACGCAGATATCAGCACCTGTGTCGGCCAGAAATTGTAGGCGTGTAACTATGTCCGTAACGAAAAAACGACGTTGTGTAGGGCAAAAATCCTCGTCGCCGCTAGTGATCTCCGTTATGGTTTTCCGACCGCATTAAACATAGAGGCGGGGCACTTGAGAGCTTTGTCTTTCCAGTGATAATAACACTGACCATTTGTTCTATCACTGTTTGTGTGACTGGAATCGCGAAGGTCTCGACATTCGTTGTCTCATTTTATTAAGGTCCTTTTTGAGGGAATTGACCATCTCTACCAGGTTTTATATTATGGGAACATTATTGGGCGTTGCACTGGTTATAGTGTGTCTGTGGACTGAGTCAATGGTGCTGTCGGCAATTTCTGCCAAGTCTTCGAATGAGCTCTGCCTTGATTGTGCAGTATGGATCTTCCTCCGGAGGATTAATGATGATGTCACGTACTTCTGCGACATATCGCGGATCAAAATTACCAAGTACATATCCAAATACGGTAACTTCCGAAGTGATCGCAGATGCATCGAAACTGGATCTGCCATGCCGAACCATAACTCCGGGTCGAATGGAACAAGAAGTGTTGGTTTAACTGCCAAATGATCCATAGATGCTGGGGCAGCGGCGCCGCGAGCTGTCATGTTAATGTGGTGATGCAGAAGTCGATGATATTGTCAGTATGGAGCCCAGAAATAGTTTGTAGTCCATAAGACGGTGATGCTAGCTTATGTCTTCATCGGATGGCACAGCTTTATGTCGGAGTCACCAATGTAGCGTGCGTGACGCTAAAACAAGTAACGATGCAGATTTCAGTCTATTTGCAAGTCTAGAGCTGGATTTTTTTTGAAGTGAGTATGGCTATTTGTAAGTGCAACAATCAGACAAAGATGAGTCTGTTTGCAAGACCGATTTATTTAATTAGTTACACGGTATTTATACAATGCTTAAATGTAAAGTGTTTGTCCAGCAGTTTGGTCCGAGTTCGTTGGTTAACTCAGTTTGGTCGATCGACAGCGACGATAGAAATGCTGAGTCACTTGCACACATACCGTATATCTACTTTTTTGGGTGTTTCATTCCCACCAGCCAGTAATGCTGGTGGACGGGCAGTTCCTCCGAACTATGCCGGAAGGTAGGGCGGAAGGCCCTCTTCAACCTGCTTTCAGGAATCGTGGGAATGGGTGGGTGGTGGTTCGGGTGAGAAAGATGAGACGGACGAAATGAAGACAGAAGAGAGTGAAAGATTATTTGTGGAATATTACTGCCTCAGCATTTGCCTAAGTGATCCAAGGAAACTACAGAAAAACTTGGACCAAGGCAGACATACTCGGAATGCTAAGCAATGGTCTAGACCTCTAGCCCATGCCGCTCGGTATATCTAAAAAAAAATAAAAATTTTGGGTGTTCATTCCCACCAGCCAGTAATGCTGGTGGGCGGGCAGTCCCTCCGGACTATGCCGGAAGGTAGGGCGGAAGGCCCTCTTCAGCCTGCTTTCAGGAATCGTGGGAATGGATGGGTGGTGGTTCGGGTGAGAAAGATGAGACGGACGAAATGAAGACAGAAGAGAGTGAAAGATTATTTGTGGAATATTACTGCCTCAGCATTTGCCTAAGTGATCCAAGGAAACCACAGAAAAACTTGGACCAAGGCAGACGGACCCGGAATCGAACCGGCGTCCTCCCGAATGCTAAGCAATGGTCTAGACCTCTAGGCCATGCCGCTCGGTCGGAATATCTACAAACTGTATACTATATGTAGTGTTCTTACACTACATTACTTGTGAATAGATAGCTATGCGTCATCTACTGTGATTTTCTAAATTTTTTGGTTTGAAATTGGTACTGGTGTGGCATCTAGTATTAGTATGATAAATTACATTAAGTTAAATACTGCCGTATAATCATAGATAAGTATGTGATGACTAATATCATAGATAATAGAATCTATTGTTGTCGTTGTTATTACCATCGACGTTTACTAATGGACATGCCTTAGCGGTCAGAATTGTGGTACAATACAAGAAAGATATGGAATGAAGTTTCGGACAATATCCATCTCTCTCACGATAGTGCATAAGCGTGTCATGAAAGAGATAGCACTAGTCCGAAACCATGCGACATCTCCCTCACCTTTCGAGCCAAGAAATTATTAGAACGACATACGGCTAAGGCACGTCCATTAATATGTGTCTATGGCCATTACTAATAATTATCTATGGTAGTCATTAAGGGGAATGTCTAATTAGGGCGGGTCCAAAAAGTTTGTTATAAATTATGACCGTAAAGAATAGATGATCATTTAAAAATGTTTTGTACGGTTAAAAGGCAGAAATTGCCTTCATTAATTTTTATTTTGTTATATATGTGTTTCTGTGGTAAGTGTTTTGCCTTTTGGCATTAGGAGTATTTTCCTAATATTATATAGGTTATAATTCAGAAAATTTAAATATTGTAAATACTTTTAGTTTTTCAATGTAATTGTGATTGCAATATTCCTGTTATAATGAGGGGATCGTGGTTTTCTTGGGAAAATGGACAAAATACAGAAACAGAAATCAATGCGAATACCATGACTCGAAAAGGAATCTGTGTTGCTATAAAGGATGAGTTCTACACAAATTATACATTAGTTTTTAAAAGAGAAACGTGTTACACTTGTATCAAATTTCTTGTCCGAACTGTTAATGTCTTAGAGAAGATGGAAAGTAAGTAATGAAAATTAAATACATGAATTTTTATTTCACATTGATATATTTTAGCCTCTTGTCAGAACATACCTGAATCAGAATTTACACTAGAGCGTGTTTGTAGCGCTCTTTTACCTGATCAGCAACTTATAACTCTCTTCTCTGAGAATTATGTACCTGTTAATTGTCGTTCTTCATTGGAAGGTGTATGGAATTTTGCATATCAAAATAGATTTAAATTTACTGGTGAATGTTCACATCCTGATGCACAAATTCGTTCATGTCAGACTGTTGGATCCCAATTTTTAATTACCAATCAAAAATTCAATATCACTTATAAGAAATGTGATGGAATGAGTGGGACTTTTGATGGCCGTAATATAATTATTTCTTGATATGAATAAATAGAAGGCTATATTTATTTTCTTGTAGTTGTTGAATACAGCTGTTTAGGAGACTGGTTTGTTGACAAAAATCATTATTTTGCTGTTGCTAATACAAAGGAGTCCCGCAAAGATGAAAAATACAGGTGCTTCCTTAAAAATCGCGATGATGATCTGTACATAGGTGTATCTATAACAGCAGAATGTAATACATTAAAAACCGTGGAGAAAAGCCCAGAAAGGTTACATGTAACACCTGGTAAGTTAATTCATTTTCAAATAACCATTTTTTTTCTCCTTTTGTTACATAAAATAAAAAGCTGTTTTGTTGTTTTTTGTACTTTATAAATATCTCAATTTTTAGTGAAGGCAGAAGTTGTAGAACCTGGTTGCAGATTACCCCAAAACTTTTCTGGTGATTGGATAAATACTGCGAATATTGATGCTGACATTTTTATAAATGAAACTCACATTATTGAAACATGGTATCCTGATGAAGGCCGTTACAGAAGAACCATCTATGTTTGCAGAGAACATAGAGATACAAGAGTAATGATGGCCAGACTTACAGTTGATGGGTGGTAAGTTCTATTTTATTCAAAAAAGAATTGACATATCCGTCGTATCCATTAATATATTTATAGATTGGAAGTAGAAATTGTATCTTGTGGGATTTTTATAATTTTATTAATAGACAATGAAAATTAATTTTCTATTTTATTTATGTACTTATCAGCCTTTAAGTTGTTTGTTTTGAAAATAAAATTCATTATAGTGTCTTACTTACAGTATGTTGCCTTAAAAATGACTAGTACCATTCTTTAAATGTCATGGAGATATTATTTAAAGATAATATTAGGGAATAAAGCAAAATTTATATAGCTAATGATAAGTACTAACAATGTAAATGTTATAAAAAAAATATCTTTTTCTTATAATTGTAATTTTTTTATTTTCAGTCAAAAAGATTATGTTTGTTTTGATTTTGTTCCACAACACCACAACATAATACGTTATAGAAAAGGAATAGCTGTTATTAAAGACAATTTCCACACAGTATGTTCGTGGGTACAATTTCCAAATAAAGAGAAGTGGAAATATGATCTTTATCTGAAGAAGAATCCAACGGCGGTACGTTGTCCCGTTGCGGGCAAGTTTAATTTTACTCAAAAAGGTGACGTTCCATTCGAAACGAGAATATTGGGCGGTGTGACATTGAGTCCTAGACCAAATACATACTGTAAGCAAAACATATCTGATTTTTCTGTATGTGATGAAGACCAGAAAGAAATAGCAATTGATGAAAATTATTGCTTATCTGTTGACTATTTGGGTAGACCAGTTGATATATACAGTAAGTACAGACAAAAGTAGTTTACTGTTATTAGGCACTTTGTTGATTAAAACAATATTTCTGGCTTAGCCTTGTTCTATTTCATTTAGATTCTTAATGTTATATTCAATTTTTTATTTTGTTTTCAGGCGATCCTGACTACAGAATGAAATGTATAGGATATTGGAAGGAAAATTTGAAATCATATTTAATCACATATGATGAGTTAGATCCATTTTCAAAATATAGATGTTGGGTCTATCAACGAGCAGATTTAAATAGAGTCCTTATGTCTCAAGGTAGTTTCGTGATCTTAATTTTCATTTGTAAATTACATTCACAATTCCTTTTTACAGCTCTTGGACCGTACTGTGATTTGAAGCAGGATGTTATTTCGTGGAACTATACAGAGGGTGCTGCTGTAGCCATAGTTATGCAGGAATATGAAAGAGAACGTAAGTAACTGTTTCCTTTTTGCATTTCAATATATTTATATATATAGGAAAATATACTTTAATATGCTTTCTGCTCTTTGTGACGCTATTTAAAACAGTAAAGAACATAGGATTTCAAGATGATCAGTTGTTTATTATTATTTTTTTTTGAGTCGGTCGTGTGAATTTCCCAAAAAAATATTTGTTGTAATAATAACATGGTTTACAAACGACAATTGTGAATAAGTTAAGTTAAAATAAACCAATAGTGAAGAGCGATGAAACACTCAAACATTTTATTTTAATCACAGTATTGTGATTTATCTTTGCAGTTTTAATCACAACTACATTTATTAGTGGATTGTAAAAATAAAACAATCCCATTATGTCAGTTGTTTTTTTAATTCGTTTTACTTTTTTATTGATAGAATGTCTCACTTTATAAGACAATGGTTGCACTGATACATGTACAGTGCATATTCTTCTTATTTGCCACTCATTTCATTGTTTTGACAAGTCATCTAATTAGTAACTATTTATAATTTTATAATAGGTGATAGATGTCCGATGCACTTTGATGATGGTTCAAATCCTTGGATTGAATCAGATAATACAATTAAAATATTCAATTTCGGATACTTTACTGGTACTTCTTCTAGTGTGCCACCAATCCAAAGTTGTGTAATGGTAATTCTGACATTAATTACTATAAGTTTTAGCTAAGTCTTTTTTAGTCTTTTTTTATATAGCATAACGTATATAAAGTAAGCACAAATCTTATTTATAAATAGCGTTATAATTTTTTATTTTTTAAACTTAAAGAATCTCAGCCCCATTTCTTTCAAGTAAAATAACTTAAAATGGTAGGTAGATTAAATTATCCTATTCCATTAAGAAAATAATTATAGTAATTGTGAAGATGATGAAACCCTCTTGGACTGGGGGGAAAGATGTGGAGGGGATAGGGAAGACTTTGTAAAATGTATTTTTGGGTGGTAAGAGAGGTGTGGAGGTGAAAAATTAAGAATTTGAAGAAGAACGTAGGCTAATCTATTTATTTTTAGCTAATTTATTTAACATCTTATAATTACTAAAAAAGCTTTTCGATTGATTTTAATTTGAAACCTCAAAAACAAGTCCAAAATCACTGCAAAAAATTTTTTCAATTTTTCACCCCACCCCCTTCATCTTTCCCTTTCGCCCCTACCTAAAAATTGTTGCCACATCTCATAATTATATTTCCAAGTTTTACTTCTACCCCTTGTGCCTCCACGTCTCCGTTCTCAGCTTAAAACACTTGTTTAGTGTTCTATAAGCTCTTCCTCACCTCCAGCAATTTTCCTTCTATCTGATAGATGGGATTACATCATCTGCACAATTGCGCCCTAAGATTGTATGTAGTACGTTTGCGTTTTTGGTACATTCCGTTTTATGTATATCGTAAATATGTATGCGTGTGTGTATTTCATTAATTTTTATGAATTAAGTACAAACAGTGGCCTTTACAGAAAGGTGCTATAAATTACTAGAAGTGCATTTTGCTTTGCATGAAATAGTTTACAGCTCCTCTAATGATATGAATATGATCTACGGATATATTATACACTAATTTTATTTATGGTATAGTTTGTACATTGTATATTTTCGAATTTGTAATATTGTATCCGTCCATTTTTAGATAAAACGAATTGAATGTAGTAGTTTCTGTATTTTATTTTTAATAGGGAGCATTTTGTAACTTATATTTAAGTTGTAATTTATACATATACCAAATAAATCTGATGAAAATCTGAAGTATTTTAGCATAATTAACCAGTCAATTTCCAAAGGAAGCAGGAGTACTAAATTATAAATTGTTTAATATCCATTAATGTTTTGATATATGTATTTATATTCAGTTTTTATCAAAAAGAGAGAACTGTACTAAATTAAAAATTCGTAATCAAATAAATTTGACTGCAGCTTGCAGTTTTCTTGATAATTGTTTTTTTTTTTTTAAAAGTAGTGATTATTTAGGAATTAAAAGCAATTTATAGACTAAACTATCCGTCGGTATCTTGGCAGGTGATGCTGGAAGCAAATTCTCATAACTAAAGTTTGATAACGCGCACGAAGGGTTCCGTACCATTATCTGTATAATATAACTCAATATTCTGTGAATATTTCAAGCGTCTACCTGTTGCCGTTATCAATATCGGACAAGAAAATCACGTTTGTTGTATTGGAGCCCCCTTAAATATTTATTTTATTCTGTTTTTAGTATTGTTATAGCGGCAACAGAATAATCTGTGAAAATTTCAACTGTCTAAGTATCACGGTTCATGAGATAAAGCCTGTGTCCCGTTTTACCCTTTGGGTACGAAACCCTAAAAACCAGGTCATTTAATATCTTATAAACTAATACCATATAATTCACAGTATGAATAGATTTAATGGTACTTATTCCAAACGAGAGAAGATCGACGAGTACCTAGTCATGGTCAGTCCATGCCATGGGTTGACCTGCCATATAAAAGATAAGGAAACGGCGCTAGGCTGCTTTTAGAGCAGTAAATGTATATGATGTGCTAGGCGGCCAAATTTAAGATGCATAGGTTAAAATAGGTAGGACCAAGAAACGATATAAATAAACCACAGCGTGACATGACCGGAAGTCTCTCATCGGTCTTATCACAAAACAGAGTATCTTGCTGGCTCTAGATGAAACCCACTTGATATGTTGTACAATCTGTACCATAAGGATTTATCTTGACAAACATACATTTGCTTTTTTTCATATTTACATGGAGGCCATTTGTCAGAGAATACTTATACACCAGGTTTAGATTACTTTGGAGATAAAAGCTGTCAGACTGGGAGCGAATAGATCGATGCAGCTTAACATCTTTCGCAAATAATGAGATACGCGAAGAAAGGGGAAGCTCAGCTAAGTCATTAATAAAGACCAATTTCTTATAAGTTCAATAATTTCATTTCATTATTTTAAGTAATCCAACTTTCTTCACTTCTTTTAAAACTTTATGCAAATTATAATTACTGTATTATACGAGCTGAAAAGTTTAGTAATGCAACGTGTTTTTTAGAATTCTTATTAGGAATTATTTTATTACTGTTTGTATCAAAGTATATTTCTCTCTCGCATACTGTTTATATTAACTATTTTCTGTCTATCTCTCGTCGATCAATTATTTATTTATACGCTCCTGGAACATTCTTGATAATTTTCGGAAACTTCTTGTACTTTCAGAGCTTTCCTTTTGTTGCGCCACTTTAATTTTTGAATCTTTATGACTAGCGGCTACCGACTTTCGATTGGTACACCCCAGACAGTCGTTTGTAGCAATACAAAGATCAGTGATAAACAAATTACTTCAGAATCCAGAAGTGTGTAGTTATAGTCATTGAACTAAACTGTTGATGACTTCATTAAATATATGTATGTTTTTTACATGGCACCATGACTATGATGGTGGAAATAAGCATTATTGCAATTTTCATGGACATTTTTAGGAGAACAACAGCCTAAATATGTCAACTTAATAATTGAAAGGTGTTTCCGTCTATATGTTATTTGCTAATAAAGAAAATGTTTTCTTAAAACGTTTAATTGCACAACTGTATTCACATTGTGGAACTTATTCGAGACATTAAATTAAATTTTAGATGACACTAAGGAAAGGTGTATGGGTATGTATGAATACGAACATTAGCTAATACTAATTACGGTAAACGGTAACACCAAAATATTTCTTAAGTATAATAAAAATAATCTACTTTACACGACTTATTATTGATTTTTGCTAATAGATTACATAAATACGTTCATAAAAACATTAATTGCAGGTATATAAATTGACTAGACTAAAAATGCTAAGTATACAGTAAAGGACGGGCTTACGAACTAAGACCTTTTTAGTACTATATTGTGATTGTTGAAATCCCTAGCAGTCGCTATTGAATTACAACTGACCAGAATACCCCTCCTTTACTTATAAAAAATTATAATAGGAATGCATTACTTTTTCATGCTAACTGTGGGCATTATTTTGACTTAGGTATATACTCTATTATGCTATACAACATTTAGCGCCTAATATACAAAATTAAAAATGCTGAATACATGTGTATTAAACGTATTAATATGGCAGTACAGTTTCTATTAAAAATTAGTAGTCTAAGAAGCTAGTTTATTATTTAATTATAGTTCCCATCATGAGCATTATTTTTATATCAGTTTTTTTGCCAATAGAAGGAGAGTAATAATACATTTATTGTTTCCAATAATAGAAAATCTGCCATATTTGTAAATATAAAATATATTAATTTTATAAGATCCAGCATAGGGTATGCACTTTACTTCAGGACAGTACATAATTTTATGAACAATTAGTTCTGTATTTATGCGCTTCTATAAAATAAAAAAAAAAAACATATTTTCCAATATTTTTATGTTTCATCTTATAGCTAGTTAGGCAACTGTTAATTCTAGATATCTGTCTAAAATAAACTTTGTATTTGTATCATTAAATCACAGCCCGTACAAACTTAAATAAGTAGGTAAGTGTAATTCATTTACTTTCTCTAGCAATGTGCCCCTTCCAATGTCATGGATGCGCGCTAGCAAAATCGTAGGTAAGGAGAAAAAAGCTCAGTATATTCTCGACTCTTGTTCTTTAAACATACTTTTTCATACAGTATCTGCCAAAAGTTTTGGTCAATCATGAATAGTAGTGCGAGTCGAAAATAAGCGTTAAAGCATTTAATATGTCTTCAAATATAAATACACATCTCGTTGATATTTGTAGTAGTAAATGGTACCAACAACAGTACATTTGAGCAGTGCAAATGTAGTGGATAAAATGGTCAATTTTTCCGTGCAGTACTGTACGGATTATACGCTCCTCACCGATTAAGAGTTTAGCCGAGAGATTGTCTCTTTCATTTTCTGGCCTAGTGCTGTTCTTTTCTACTTTGCGCCGGTCAAACTGAAGGTCACATCGCTACAGAAAGTAAACGAAGTATAAGTAGTTTTCTTAAAATTTGTATTCTTTTGGTACGGTAACATCGAGACGTTAAATATTAAATTAACAATATTTTTCCGGTTAGTAATAGTTCAGTTCTGCGCTTTTTTTGTGTACTTAATACACAGGTAATTACTAATACATACTAATATACCTAATTGCGATTAGGTACGATTTTTCTATAAATTTCAATTCTACTAAATAAATGGAGCTCATACCATGCATGAAGATTGAAACTTGATAAACCAGTTGATAACAAAAGCATAGAAAGACTAAGAAGCACATCACCGAAATATTTTTCATTTTCCATAAAAGAAAATTGTATTGTTAACTGTGAGAATTCGAATTTAGTAAATAAATAGAACGTAACGTAAATTGCAAAATTGTTTACCGTTTCATTTGTTAAATATTGTTATTAACTTTTTATTCTGGCCTTCCTTACCTTTAAAGTAATAAAAAAAAGTAGTTTCATATCAAAGCCAATTGGAGTTAACAGTTGTTGTCTTTGACAAAATAAAATAAACTTTTCACCCCAGTTGACTTTGACTTGTCACAATCAAACCAATTAAGTATAATAATAATTTACGTTTAAATAGCAAGTTACAACAAAATGAATTTGCAGTTTATGTCTGAATCGTATCCTTTCTAAATATTGAGTTTTTAGGTATTATGAAGAACGTCATGATACCGACCCCTACAGGTCATTTTCACCTCAAACATACTATCGTGTTTCAAACATAGACTGTTGTGGTCTGTTGATTTCCAAAATAATGATTTTTTGGCTAATATTTAGGATGACTTGTTTGACGAGACTTGAACATTGACGAACCTTTGGTGTAAATTAAAATGAATGGTTTGGTTAGCGCGTTTTAATGAATTAGGGAGCCGGACTATAGTTACAAATATAAAAAATGACGAAGATCAGGAGGCACTACATGCAGAAATTGAAGAAGTGGTAAGTTTAGTGATAGAGTAGGAAAACCTCATAATTGTAGGAGACTTCAACAAAGCGAAATTAGGAAACCCTAATTTCGAAATTAGGGCCCCACAAATTCACAATCCGTCCCTGATTTTTAAGATTTTCACACACTTTTATTTCAAAAGTAACAATTCTTCAAAGAGACAGTAACTAATTATTATTTCAAATGAAAAATATCAATTCAATGTAATAAAGGTATATTAGTCTTTCATCATTAAAGAAATATTTTTTGCAAGTATTTTATCTTTTATTAAAACTCGTAATTTTGAGTGAATGTTTTTGAAATGCGACCAAATAGGTATAAGAAAACGTCAAAAATCAAAAGATTAAAATAGTGCTAGTCTACACCTTAACGGAGCGTTTCCATGAGATCCTCTGCGTTGCAGTAGTAGTGGTCTTAGAGGTTCTTACAAATATTTCATACCAATCTGCATTTCCAGTATTCAGCTATGTTCATTCTGCTTTGTTTTTATTTATCGTTATTGTTACTGCTATTTTTGTTATCGTCTGTACGGTTTTTCGTCGATTTATTGAAATTTGGAAATGTCACACTTAAATAAGTAAGCCCACGAAATCATTTTGAAGGTGATAAATTATTTTACCTAAGAAAAGAAACTTTTACTCCCCGTTACTTGTGTTCAAGACAGTGTTGCAGCAACTACCGGTATTTCTGTGAGAACAGTCAAAAAAATAATGACCAAACAAAATCAGGGAAATATAAAAAAGGAAATCCGAGTTCGAATGAAGAAAAGAACAGTACATATGAAAGAAATTTTAAAGCATGATGTGAGAGACGTAATTTATCAAATGTACGAAAAGGAATTTGTAACTTTGAAAAAGTTACAACTAAAATTAGAAAAAACGTCTTTAGAGGCATCAACTGGATCTTTAACTGTTCTTCCGAAAGTAATAGAGTTCAAATTAAAAAACAAAACTGTAACAGATGCGCTCTATGTGAAATGAAGGACGTCCGAATGAAAACAGGGCTTTCATTAAGGAAGTTCGTGGACAATAAAACCTCGTTGAATTCGAAAAAGTGCGTGTTCTTGGACGAAACATGGATATTTTCTAGAGGTGGCAACAAACACACATGGCAAAAGGATGGTATAAAAAGTGTCAAAAATAAAAACTGAAGGAAAGTGTTTTATGGTCCTCAGTGCCGGAACTGACAGTTTCAACTGGCCTTATTTTTTCGTTAAAAAATTCAGATTACCATGGTAATATGAACTCTGGTTCACTGAATTATTGCCAAAATTAGAGGAATCTTCGCTCATAATTTTAGATAACGCCCCTATCGTTCAAGGGTTTCTCAAAAGTACTCTACGTCTAAATGGAAGAATAATGAGAAGAAGAACTAGTTGCAGCAATGGTTACGTGTATTCAGTATATATGTAAAACTTGTGCACGCCACTGTAATTTATTCAAGATTCGTGAAGCAATTGATGGTATAGTAATAATTTAATAATAAAATAATAATAGAGAGAAATGTGGTGTTATAGGCGGATGATGAGGATATCGTGGGTAGAAAAGGTTAGAAATGAAGAGGTATTGGAAAGACTAGGAGAACAGAGGACTCTATGGAAGACAATAAAAAATAGGCGAGATAGGTTGGTAGGACACCTTCTCAGGCATGAAGGTCTAGTCAGAGACATACTAGAGGCAGAAACAGGAGTTAGGAGGGGTAGAGGTAGACCTAGATTAGATTACTGTTCGCAAATAGTTAAGGATGTGGGCTGTTCTAGTTTTAGGGAAATGCGAAGTTTAGCTCAGGATAGGAAAGAGTGGAGGTACGTGTCCAACCAGTCTTAGGACTGATGACCTTATGACGATGATGAGAGAGAAATACTCCCTACAAATAGGGAGAAAGATACACAAATTTTATAAAGTACCAACAGTGTTCGTTACCTGCCACTAGTCGAGAAAGATAAGTGTATCTTTCTCTTCGTGGTAGATATACGAGTTAGTAGAATTATTGTTCCAATAATATTGGAAGAAGAACTAGAAGTTAAGAGGAGTAGTTTTAGGAAACTGCGAAGATAGAAAAGAGTGGATGTGCTTGTCCAACCAGTTTTAGGACTAACGACCTTCTGATGAATAAATAATAAAGCAAAAGATTTTCAATTTTAACTTATTAATCCATAACCGGCAAAATTAAACTGAATTGCGGAAACCTGTATCGAGGTAGTTTTAGGTATATCTGTAATTATAACGACAGACTAGAATCTGAAACTTTTAAAATTATACAAGAAAATTCCCAAACATAACAAAACAATTCTTTAGATAGTATCGGATGTCAGTAACAATACTCTTGACTAACTTGATATGCTTATGTCGTACATTACACTTTATTTGCCTGTTGTATTATAAGGCAGTATGAAAGAAAATATGTGATCTATGTGGGTGAATAATTGGACCGCAAGCTATATTATAAATATATAAATCTTTACTAGGTAATGTAGTCGCTCATACGAAGGCGTAGAAGTGCCAAATAATCTTTTTTTTGAAATTTCGAGTTAAGTATTGATTTACCTACCAGTATAAGAAGGTAGACTTTCGCGGTCGGAATCAATTGTCTTGTAGAATTATGATTCGGGCTGAAGAACCGAGGTCCAAATAAATTGTTGGGTCCAAATGTTTCGTTGGCAACTGTGACCAAAATCTTCAACACCTACGTTGTAAATGTAGTAGGTACCATTGAAGTTGTCAACTGAAATTTCCAATGAAACATCTGAACCTAACAATTAATTCAAACCACGGCTTTTCAGCTCGAATCATAATTTTAGGTGTTGTCCGCGATTGAATTACTCACTAGGTTAGAAATGGGTTAGACATTTGGAGATGCAAGTCAAAATTTCATGTTACAAATCGAAATTAAAAAAATAAATATGTTTGGTCTTTCGACGCCTTTGTACGCCCATATTTATGCACATTTATATTAAAACCACCTTGTGTTATCTTGTCACTATCCCGCGCCAACATGCCAAGGGGTTACGATGAAAATGCACAGTGTATTTATATTTTGCTACCTGGTCTATCTCAAAAAAGCAATAAAGAAGGTATTTACCATCTCTAATGTTATTAGTTACGTCGATAAGAAATAGTAATTGTAAAAGTACTTACAAACGTATGAGATTAAGAAAATGACATATTAGGTTAGGTTAGGTACATCAATTTAATATTAATGGCAAGTGTACACAACTTTGCAAAAAAACGTTTATTTAAACGTCAGAGACGTACCGTTCGATAGGAGGGATTTAAAGGGTGTGACAACATCCCTACACCTTTGTACTGAGTGACAGCGTTTTCGTACCGCAGTTGACATATTCCGGGAGTTCGACTGTAACTTGTAATTTTCATACATCAGTATGTAGGGACATACCTATTGCTTACACAAAGACATTCTAGTAATGTGTAGATGCAATCAATTTTCAGTCGGAAAATTCTTCTCATTGAGAGGGTATCTTTAACAAAATCCACCTTCTCTCCCCCCTTCATAATGCTCAGTATGGTTCTTTCAATAGTTGATCATTGGCTTCAGTGAACAACTAACATAATCAAAAGACAATTTTGGTTTTGGAACATTCTGCCAACTGCAATTGTTTATGTAATTCGAAAAACCTTTTACTGATGTTGAGCGTTTTAATTTCTCATTTTCATAAAAAATAAAGTAAAACTTGTGCAGTTGTTACTGTAAATTTTTTGTATTAATTTGTTATAATCTAATGATTGACTATAAGTAACTTATTTTAATTTTATATTCTTATTTGTGTTGAACGAGAACGTCAGCTCTTCTTTGTTTAGAAAAATGTTTACACGTAAGCCTCCAGAAAGCCAGTCTGAAATCAGGCGCGTAAAATGCGTAAATAAAAGGATTTATAGCGGAATTAAGCCACCCCAACCAGGTAAAGTAAGGCATCAGTGGACTTTTGTTTACTTCAGTACTAGGCAGAAAAGGCGTCAAAATGTAATACACAAAAAACGGTAACCAACAGACTACAAAGCCACCGACGACTATACTAAGAGTTTGGGCTGTTTTAGTTTCTCTCCTTATGGAAGACACTCTTCCTGTTGACTCTAAATTAATGGCGGTCGCAATGTCGTAGTTAAATGATGATGGTCTGGAACCACCGAAATTCGCACTTGCGGTCGAATAGAAACTTGCAACCCTTGTGGGCCCAGCAGACTCCGCTGATGCTGAATAACTTACTCTGAGGGGCCGTTTTGATTCTTGAGGTGTCTTTTGTTTCTCTTTTGATGTAACATTATTCAAGGCTTCTGAGCAAAGCCTGGAAAGAAAACAAAAAGCTATTTTAATTAAATATTAACATTAAAGAAAACCCATTCATCGTAAAATCAAAATTAAATTATGTGTTTGTGATTTCTGGATGTTTAACATTTAAAATTCAAAAGGTTGAACTGTTACATTCAAACTCAATTTTCAATCGCTTGTTAAAAATAGAAAGCAATCTTAAATCTACATAGATAAAAAGTTTATTCAATTATTAAAAATAAAGAGATTTTTTATGGAACATCTACTTCAAAGGTATATATATAAATTTTTCGAGCGTATGTAAAAAATTTGATTTTATCATTACATGCTCAATTTTAAAATTTAAGAAAATATTTATTATTGTCGTGGTGGCAATGGGATCAAATATTTAATTTTGTATATTTTTTTAGGGTACAAAAAGCAATACGTGTTTTTGGGTTCACATTTCGTGATTTCGTATTTATAACTTCATAACCCTCAACTCTCAATTTTCATTTATGGAAGAAGTTTTTAACGAATCCGTGCAAAAGTTGTTAAATATTTTAGGATAATCATTTATATAGGAATTCGTGAAATATTTTCTCGAGTCCTTCTAACGGATTAAATGAAGAAAATTTTTAATTAGAGATTGTTTCCATTTTAATAAACAAGTAAGAAAAAAATACACTGAACGTTAATTACTGTAGGTACAATGTCAATATTAACTGCTTCATGTAACGGGCACAGATTTGGGGTATGGATTAAGGTGTTTTCCTAGATTTTAGAGGTTATTATACTTATAATTAGTACAACCTTTTGATGTGGAATTCGAATTTAATTAGAGAATGTCTCCATTATTTCATTAACATTCATCAAAATAGCTATTTTCATAAGATAGATGTAGGAATATCTTCACTATACACCTTGTGCTCTTATGATTTGAGACTATTTAAACCGCTATTTTATCAATAAAAACCATTTTTTACACAGAGTGAAGTTTTTCTTTATACGTATGTATGTAGATAACATTGAGGTAGTCAACTAGTTATGAAATGTTATTTGCCCTAGTAAGAGTAGTCTTTAATGAGCTTTTTATACTCGTTTATCCATTAAGTTGAAAAACGCAAGGAGATATCAATTTTTACTCGTATTTACAAAAATAATTTTGAAACAAGTAAAAAATAACAAATAATAATTCAGTAGAAAATAAACGAGAGAACGATAAAATTATACAATATGATCTGTATGCTAATGATGGTTTCATACATACCATTCGAAGATCAGTAAGTTAAAGCCTTTACCACTTTGCTCAAAGTCAAAACCAGAAAAATTCAATTTGGTAATGTAGTGATTAATTATTTATATTATTGAGGAGTCAGTAGGCCTAATTGTGGTTAATGCATCGCTTAAAGAAGCAACCCCTTAAACTTTACCACTAATTGAGAAAGGTCAAAACCGGAAAAGTTCAATCTCCCAATGTGGTGATTATGTTACAACACCCTATTCACTAGTTAAATTTTTTAATTTAAAATACATAATATATTATTTTTTTAAATAAGTATTAAGGAACAAGAAGCTTAACTTAGCTTATATTAAAAAATTTAAGTTAATTTAAAATACCTACTACAAATAACATATTCTTGTAAACGTATGCCTGCGGTAACGGATCAATAGCGCGAAATTTTTCTTTACATTTGCTAAGTGACATGGAGCCTTGATGCATCTGACTAATAAGACGCGCGATAAAAGAAAACAAAAACAACAATACATATTAGACACACACACACACATATAAGACTGTGTCAGAAAAGAAAATTACTCGAAGATTCCAGAATTAATCATTCACGTATTTCCTGACTGTATAAATACATAGATTTCTACATCGCACCGAAGACAATGGATAAAAGACTAATATTTGAAATATATTAAAACGAGAAGTACAAACGGTGAAATACTTCTTGTCTTGATAACGATCAATATTTTGATGAATATCGATAATCATCAATAGTTATTAACATAAGAATAGTTTATCGATATATATCGATATACTGATTACTATCGATAATCATTGAATATATCGACATATAACGGCTAAACTTCAATCAGACCTTTTTTTATATAGCGTTTAATTTCTTATAGAAAATGCCTTCTTGATTCTTACACAGTTATTCGTTGTTATCATCATCATAAAGTCGTCAGTCCTAAGACTGGTTGGACACGTACCTCCACTCTTTCCTATCCTGAGCTAAACTTCGCATTTCCCTAAAGCTAGAAAAACCCACATCCTTAACTATTTGCGAACAGTAATCTAACCTAGGTCTACCTGTAACCCTCCTAACTCCTGCTTCTGCTTCTAATATATCTCTGACTAGACCTTCATGCCTGAAAAGATGACCTACCAACCTACAGCGCCTATTTTTTATTGACTTCCATAGAGTCCTCTGTTCTCTTTTCTTTCTAATACCTCTTGTTGAATTATAAAATTCCAAAATTAAAAAGGGGAAATAGAAAATTGCAAAATGCCACCTCCAAATATTAATATTAAGGCTCATTTTAACAGAATCCAGGATATCTGAGGATATTCTATCGATTTTTCAGTTAAAAAAAAAAAACAAAATAGTCAATTTTTTGATACACCTTAATATGTATTGATATGTTGATAATTATGAAAAATTTTCAAAAATTTTTGAAATTAAATATTTTCTAAGAAAAAAAAAGTAACCAAATAAACAACAGCTACAACACTTATAGTATAGGGATTTATTTAGAAACAAGAAACAATACAAAAATGATGTAGGTACAAAAAAGTGAGCAAGTAATAAACAGACAAACAGAAGAACTAATTGTTGATGTTGGTGACAGTGACAGAGATTGCCATGATGGCAGTGAATGTGAAAAACTAACTATAAAACAAAAGCAATAGGTTTATTTTTTCTTTTTGATAAGTCATGTTTTTACATTATTTCCTAGTACTCTACTGTCCTATCTGTATTAATACTATAATTTACGCCTACTAAAAGCTTATTTGTGTATCGGTTCCAAGTGACTTACCCAAATAGGTCATAAATGGGCAAGTACCTGCGCGACCGCTCGCCAGCTTCCTTCGTCCGACCTGTATATATATGTATATACATTCATTTAGCAACTGATAAGTTATCAATGTATCGATAATTACCGATAATTATCGATGTATCGAAGCAGCTATATCAATAGTTATCAGTTGCTAATATTGTTATCGACATATCGATAGTTATCAATAGTTATCGATGAATGTCGGTAATTATCGATTTATCGATATTTTTTTGTTATGAATAATCGATAGGTAACTAAAATCAGTTATCTTCCAAGGCTACGGTAGACACATAAAGATAGTCTACAAAAAAAGAGAATGAAAATTATTGTTTCGAATTACTTTTATTAGAATGGGAGCAAAACGGGATACCTGAAGAAACCTAAACTTTCTTAATCTCAAATACGCTTGCAAAAAAAATCACTTGCCACGGAATAGCAAATAATTAGATATCTTATTAATTTCTTAAAAATAAATAAGTATGCTACGCCCTCCCCTCTATTTACTACTGGATCGGCCCCCGTCCCCAGGGAAGGCTCCAGCGCCTAGTGTGGTACGATAGCGCTCCCATTGAGGGCGCTACCCCATTGTAAATCTATGCATCAGAAGGCTTTCTGCTTTATTTATCTAATTAATTTGTTATTGTGTATCTGTCTTTAGTTGCAAATTTATTTCTTATTTTTGTCAATGATAATGTTATGTTAATGTTAATTATGCATATTATGTTTAACTTATGTTACAGGCGTAGGTATGTATTTCAAAGATATCATTTTCACTGTCAGCGCTTTTTTGTTGTATTTTGTGTCGTTTCAAAACTTCACCGCTTCTACATCGATATTATTGTTCGAAGTATAGCTTCTGTCATTTTAACCAAAGACACTTTATTCAATTGTAGCCAGCGAAAACTTCGCGAAAGTAGGCCAAATTGATAAAAGGTACCTATCTACAAAAAAGTCTATTCTACAGGAAAGATCGCTACACTCTCTCCATCAATCTTCGCAAAACAAAATATGTGCTTACTTTAAGAAGCGTCGCTTTATGGTTTCTAAAAGTGGATCGTTTTAAAATTGATTCAAACGTCACATAAATGATATGCCTGGTGGTATTTGTAAACATTTTATTCTAGTTAAAAGGATGATCGTAAAACAGGATAACACATGGTTGAAATATAGAAACAAACTAATTTTTGTTTTCAATATTTTTATTCCATTCAAGTACCTCATACTATTTTATTCGCTAAGAGGACAATTTACCCGTTGGAGGATGGGGTAAGTTCCTCTAGTTTTCATAACTCTTACAAACAATTTAAGACAATTATTGTCTCGGTAAATAAAAAAATTTGTGCATAGAAAAATTATTTAAAAAACCTAAGTATCAGAGTAAATGAGCAAGACCAATATTTAACACGCAAGACCAAGCCCAAGACTAGAAATATTGAGCAAGACCAAGGCCAATACTAATAATGGTCTTGATCTTGATTTGCTCATTACTAGGACGTATTAATTAACACGTACACATCAATGATGAAAAAGTGGAAAAAATTAAACGGATTATGCTTGCTAATAGAAGACTTGCTATTGGAGAGGTTAAGAATTTAATTTGGCTTATGCAAAGCGATTTTTACAAATGTTTTAGGCATGAAATGAGTGGTGGAAAAATTTGTTTCGAAACTGCTGAATTTTCAACAAAAAGATATCGCGTAGCAATCGCAAACGCGTTATTACTGGGTGGAACGTGGGTACACGACATCGAAACGAAAGCTCAACCGTCTTAAAGGCATCAATTTCCTGAAGAGCCAAAACTAAAAAGGTTCGACAAGCTAGGTCAAATGTTAAGGTTCTTTTAACCGTTTCCTTTGACTGGAGAAGTAGTTCATTACGAATTTTTATCGACTGTCTATACAGTTAATAAGCATTACAAGTTATATGCAATTTCCGCGAGGAAATCCGGGAAACAACGGTTCGAATTTTAGAGAGACAACTCATGGATTTTACTTATCCAACATAACATCACTGTAATGCTGCAAGCATTCTATTCTCAAGACATGGACATCGAAATTGAAAAAGACTCAAAAGACAACGTTTTTTAACAATCGATGAAATAAAGACCACATCGCAGCTGTTTTCTAGACTGGAAAGTACGATGGCATAAGTGAGACTACTTCGAACAAAATAAGATAGACATTAATGATTACATAAGTAGATTATGTTTTCCTTGGAAGAACCGTTAATTATTAAATATATTGAACGGTTATCAAAGGCGTATGTCTATTTGATCATTTAATAATTACTTTCCAAAAGTATTTTTGAAGTAAAGCTTCTTTACGCACGCTTGACTTGGGGAATAAGCTGGTGAGTGCGAGGCGAGAGCGTTATTAAATTTTAAGGAAGAATTCCTTGCATTAATATGCTGTACCTGTGATCGTGTTCGACACACCACACCTACCAGGATGTACTTTCATTGCTTTTGCAAATTGTACCATTACCGGCGTCCAACGCCGTAATAAATAACAGTCTATGCATTCCTTCCTTGCCCTTATTAGCGTACAGAACTCCACTACAGCATATAGTGACGCTGCATTACACAATTACACTAAATAATCCTGGTCATCATTGCTGGAGCAGTTGGGGTTTTCCATAAGGTCATTGCCCTCACATTTATGTATATCACTTTGTGGTGTATGATGACTCATTCTATTTCTTTTTCATGTACCTTCTTCTGCCTTAATTGTTTTAGAAGTACTGATCAGACTTCAGTTATCACTCACATTCTTCCAGTATCGCGCAATTATTACATGAGGTTGGAAAAGAAAAGGTTAGAAGTGTTTAAAATGTAGCGTTACAACGAATGGTGGAGATACCGTGGATAGAGAAGGTTAGAAATGAAGAGGTATTAGAAAGAGTAGGACAACAGAAGGCTCTATGGGAGTCAGTTAGAAATAGGCGAGATAGGTTAGTAGGACACCTTCTCAGGCATGAAGGTCTAGTCAGAGACATATTAGAGGCAGATCGGAAGTTAGGAGGGGCAGAGGTAGACCTAGATTAGATTATTGTTCGCAGTTGGTTAAGGATATGGGATTTTCTAGTTTTAGGAAAATGTAAAGATTAGCTCAGGATAGGAAAGAGTGGAGGTACGTGTCCAACCAGTCTTAAGACTGACGACCTTATGATGATGATGACTGGAAGGAATGATGGAAACCTCAATGAATTGTAATCAATTTCTTCATTCTTTCTACAGACACATACTTTAATTAAGACTGCAAGGACAACAGCCTTACCTCATCATCATCATCATAAGGTCGTCAGTCCTAAGACTGGTTGGACACGTACCTCCACTGCTTCCTATCTTGAGCTAAACTTCGCATCTCCGTAAAACTAAAACAACCCAGATTCTTAACTATTTGCGAACAGTAATCTAATGTAGGTCTACCTCTACCCCTCCTAACTCCCGTTTATTAAAGTACGATGATCCCTCTTATCCCTGTAGTAATTTTTTAATTTGAGAACACGTTTAAATACTTTTAATCTGTCTAATTTTTCAATATTTCCAAATATATTTTTAATTTGCGTAACAGTGGTACCAGATTTTGGATAAGTATGAAAGAAAAGATAGAAGTTTATATTTCATTTCCTATTATAGCTTCTATAATTCGTTATTAATTATTTGTTTCTCTTTGTGTTTATGTAAGTGAATCTAATGCGTTAAGATGTAATGTAATCTTATCCTTGTTAGAATTTTAATCCCCAGGTGTCGTGAACAACGCGGTCAGTTCTCAATTATGCACGCGCTTTATGTCCCTGTACAAGAAATGTTACAAAGCAAAACTGTGCATTTCGACCACGACCAGTGGAATAAATTATTAAAACGAAATTTTAATGTGCAAAACATACAAACGTATAATAGGTACCTTGTATTTTGCAACAGCAATCACTTAGCGAAGGTAAACTAATTAAAGCGCTTTTAATAATAGTGCCTTGTTCGTTTAAACTGTTCTATGTTGATAAATTTCGAATTTAGATTTGTTCGGTTTACAAATATGGTTTAACTACAACTTCTTTACAACTTTCTGAATGACTCGACGGAGATGTGGTTAAATTAGTTTTCCAAAAATAAACTAACGTAAGCTTCTTTCTCATAACCGGTCAAAAAACTTCTGTTCTGATACATGCTCGCATATTTCCTTATGTTAGTACATGCATTATTTATACATTTATTTATTCAACAAGCGGAAGTAAACAAATGAACTTATTTAATTATGACTATACAGTAGGTAGATAGTATATTTATAGTAGCTGATTGTAGTACAACTCCGCATTTTCAAAATCACTCTTCATAACCTTCTTTTCCCTTTCATTTCCTTGTTCCTTATTTAACGATAGATTTATAATAACGGAATAAAATTTAGATAAAGTTGTTTGAACAGACAAAATGAATCAGAAATAATGAAAAAGAAAATTATTCTAATTTACTCTCTTTCCATAATAATTACAAATTTGACAAGGTAGTGTTCCACAGGAACCAACTTGGAGTCGACATGAACTTAGTATCATGAATACGTGTTAAGTAAGAAAAGCACATATTACAATATTTCTATTCAATTTCCACGCCATTTTCATTTGTAAGCAAATATTATCATAAGGTCGTCAGTCCTAAAACTGGTTGGACACGCACCTCCACTATTTCTAATTCTGAGCCAATCTTCGAGTTTCTCTACACCATTAACTATTGCGAACAGTAATCTAATCTAGGTCTACCTCTACCCCTTTTAACTTCTCTTTCTGCTTCTAACATGACTCTGACTAGTCTTTCATGCCTGAGAAGGTGTCCTACCAACTTATCTTGCCAATTTTATTTCTTATATAGGGTCCTCTGTTCTCCTATTCTTTCTAACACCTCTTCATTTATAAGCTTCTCTATCCACAGAATTTTCATCATTCGCCTGTAACACCACATTTCGAACGCTTCTAACCTTTTCCTTTCCGTCGTGCCCACCACCATTTAACAGCGCCGCGCTTCAAACTTACGCTTTAACAATATTTTTAGAATTTCTTAATTGACCGTTCGCGACCATAGAAGTGATTTCTTTTTATTGAAGGCGACTCGACCCTGCGCTATCCTCTGCTTTATATCCCTACTACTGCTTCCGCCCTGACTTATCTGACTTCCTAGACACCTAACATCAGCCACTCCTAATATTTAAATTTCTATCTTTATTTTTTTATTTTCCTTACTTTTTCTTCCTTGCATCCCAGTATGTTTGTTTTACTTTTATTTATTTTCATACAATATTGTTTTGTCAATACATTTATGTATATCACTTTGTGGTGTATGATGACTCATTCTATTTCTTTTTCATGTACCTTCTTCTGCCTTAATTGTTTTAGAAGTACTGATCAGACTTCAGTTATCACTCACATTCTTCCAGTATCGCGCAATTATTACATGAGGTTGGAAAAGAAAAGGTTAGAAGTGTTTAAAATGTAGCGTTACAACGAATGGTGGAGATACCGTGGATAGAGAAGGTTAGAAATGAAGAGGTATTAGAAAGAGTAGGACAACAGAAGGCTCTATGGGAGTCAGTTAGAAATAGGCGAGATAGGTTAGTAGGACACCTTCTCAGGCATGAAGGTCTAGTCAGAGACATATTAGAGGCAGATCGGAAGTTAGGAGGGGCAGAGGTAGACCTAGATTAGATTATTGTTCGCAGTTGGTTAAGGATATGGGATTTTCTAGTTTTAGGAAAATGTAAAGATTAGCTCAGGATAGGAAAGAGTGGAGGTACGTGTCCAACCAGTCTTAAGACTGACGACCTTATGATGATGATGACTGGAAGGAATGATGGAAACCTCAATGAATTGTAATCAATTTCTTCATTCTTTCTACAGACACATACTTTAATTAAGACTGCAAGGACAACAGCCTTACCTCATCATCATCATCATAAGGTCGTCAGTCCTAAGACTGGTTGGACACGTACCTCCACTGCTTCCTATCTTGAGCTAAACTTCGCATCTCCGTAAAACTAAAACAACCCAGATTCTTAACTATTTGCGAACAGTAATCTAATGTAGGTCTACCTCTACCCCTCCTAACTCCCGTTTATTAAAGTACGATGATCCCTCTTATCCCTGTAGTAATTTTTTAATTTGAGAACACGTTTAAATACTTTTAATCTGTCTAATTTTTCAATATTTCCAAATATATTTTTAATTTGCGTAACAGTGGTACCAGATTTTGGATAAGTATGAAAGAAAAGATAGAAGTTTATATTTCATTTCCTATTATAGCTTCTATAATTCGTTATTAATTATTTGTTTCTCTTTGTGTTTATGTAAGTGAATCTAATGCGTTAAGATGTAATGTAATCTTATCCTTGTTAGAATTTTAATCCCCAGGTGTCGTGAACAACGCGGTCAGTTCTCAATTATGCACGCGCTTTATGTCCCTGTACAAGAAATGTTACAAAGCAAAACTGTGCATTTCGACCACGACCAGTGGAATAAATTATTAAAACGAAATTTTAATGTGCAAAACATACAAACGTATAATAGGTANNNCTAGCAAGGAGATCGGGCTGAAACTATAGCTACAAGCTATCCAAGGATGGTACTATAGAATGTCACCTCAAGGTAGGCCTAGTGGCGTCATCTCTTGGTTAGGCCGGAAACTTATCAATCCACCCTCGTACAACGGAGCTAGGCTGGATAACTGACTGACGAAATTCTAAGAGTGACGTATGCTCTTCGATATTTCACCAGAATCTTGGATCTTCAGTAATAAGCGGTATTAAATATCTTTTAGATATAGTCGAGTGAGGTATCACTCGAAAGATATCGAGAATAGGAATGATTTATGTTCTTCGATTTTTTATCAGACATATGTAGTTCTTGAGTTATAAGCGGTAATATACTTCGGACAAAGCGAATAATCGCTAGTTACTCTGTATATTTAAGAAATATCTTATTGAAATTCTACCTTCCAATTGTTTATCATGTCCTTAGCAAATTAAGCACGTCCAAAATAATTTATCTATATGTCATTAGTCACAGTAATTAAAGTTCAATAAATATATAATAAGTATGTATTTAGCTTGGAAAACGAAGTCTAGGTGCAAACACTAAAATATTAATAATTTTTGGATCTTAAGGTTTGAAGAATTAATGACGATTTTATGACGAAATCTGTAATTTTCATCACAAATTTTATTTTCTTTGAGGACACGCGAACTGGACCATGTTCATTATCATGATTATCATAAGATTGTCAGTCCTAAAGTCCTCCAGTTTTTCCTATCCTGAGATAATTTTCGCATTTCTCTAAAACTGGAATATCCCGCATCCTTAACTATTTCCGAACAGTAATCTAATTTAGATCTACCTCTATTCCTCTTACTCCTGTTTCTGCCTCTAATATATCTATGACTAAACCTTCATGCCTGAGAAGGTGTCCTACCAACCGATCTCGCCTATTTCTTATTGGCTTCCATAGAGTCCTCTGTTCTCCTACTCTTTCTAATACCTCTTCATTTTTAACCTTCTCCTTCCATGGTATAGTCATGCCCGTAAGTAATAAATTCACAAGAAACTTTCTAATGTTTGATGTCATCCATTGAAATTTGTGTATACTTTTTATCATTGTTTATGTTTCTTTATAAGGGTGGGTAGATTTATTTGCGTACCTGTGTATGAGAGTGATCAAAGTTACTTTTCATTTTGGCTTCTTTGTAGTTTGGTAAAATCTGTACCTGTTGCATGATTGTATGCGTGAAAAAATGCTAAGCAAATGTTAAATTAATTGAATTTAAAACTTTTTCCTTTTCGAAATATTTTTTAGGAAACTAAGCAACCTTTTTTACTCACTCTAGTACCTATTTATGCCTTCCTGATATAATTAATGCATTCCGAAAAAGTTGAATCGGCCTCATGAATTTACGGTTCGCAATTATTTGCCTCTGGTCTGACCGCAATGTTATGC